TACACCCATGGACTCCACAAACGAATCTTCCGGGTCGGGTACCCGAACCCGCCGTGGTAAGAATCCTAGTCATGGTTCCGATAAAGATAATAATAATTTGGATAAAGGTAAGGAGAAAGAGCATGAAGTTAGGGTTAGGGATAAGAATAGGGATAGGGATAGGGAGGCTGAGAGGAGTCTAGGATTGAACATAGATTCTGGTGGTGGTGAGGACGATGATAATGATAGCGAAGGGGGTGTTGGTATTTTGCACCAGAATTTAACTTCAGCAAGTAGTGCACTTCAAGGACTTCTTAGGAAACTAGGTGCTGGATTGGATGATTTACTCCCCAGCTCTGCAATGGGGTCTGCGTCGTCGTCCCATCAGAGTGGCCGGCTCAAGAAGATATTGTCCGGTTTGAGGGCGGATGGTGAGGAAGGGAAACAAGTAGAAGCTCTGACTCAGCTGTGTGAGATGCTTTCTATTGGAACGGAAGATTCACTAAGCACATTTTCCGTGGACTCGTTCGTACCTGTGCTTGTTGGGCTGCTGAATCACGAGAGCAATCCTGATATTATGCTTCTTGCAGCCCGGGCTCTTACCCACTTGGTTGATGTTCTACCTTCTTCTTGTGCTGCTGTTGTCCATTATGGAGCTGTTTCATGCTTTGTAGCTCGGCTGCTTACAATTGAATACATGGACTTGGCTGAGCAGGTGAGTGAATTTGTTTGACACAGAACATTTATGTGTCCTACAAGGAAAAAGTATTCATGGTGATACTCCCAGCATAGTTAATCCATAACTATTATTCGCAATCCGAATATTATAATCCTTGCTTAACTAGGCCGTGAACGAGTTGACTTTAAGTGCAACTCTCTGTTTCTACGTGGAACCATTATGTGTATTTACTAAGGATTGGCTTTTTTTAGCTGTAATGCTAATGTTTTACCTTTGACAGTCTTTGCAAGCTCTAAAGAAGATATCTCAGGAACACCCAACTGCTTGCTTGAGGGCTGGTGCGCTGATGGCTGTGCTTTCTTATCTCGATTTCTTTTCCACTGGTGTTCAGGTAGAAAAATCCCTTTCATGATTTTGTGGAATCTTTTAATATCTTGTATCATGATTTTGATGGGAGTTCAGTTTTAGTGAAATAAGAAACTTCCAGCCCCTTTTAGTACATATACAATTGTTTCTAACATCTTTCGTCCTTCAACAGAGAGTAGCATTAGCAACTGCTGCTAATATGTGCAAGAAGCTTCCCTCAGATGCTGCTGACTTTGTCATGGAAGCTGTACCGCTTTTGACAAATCTCCTTCAATATCATGATGCAAAGGTGAATTCATTATCATGTTATGCTACCGTTGCAGGAAGATATCTTCTCTTCCCTGGCCCCTCCTAGTTTGGTTAAACTTAACTTTTGTTTTCTTAATGTTTTCTCTTGGTGCTTGGATGTGTCTGCAGGTATTAGAGCATGCTTCTATCTGCTTGACCCGTATTGCCGAATCATTTGCATCATACCCAGAGAAGCTAGATGAACTTTGCAATCACGGACTTGTTACCCAAGCTGCCTCACTCATCTCAACCAGTAACTCTGGAGGTGGTCAGGCTTCACTCAGCACGTCAACCTACACAGTACGTTTAACTCTTCCATATGTCGGGCATTTACAATCTTGATAGCTGTATTCTGACTTGATAACGCTTGCAGGGTTTAATCCGGCTTCTTGCGACATGTGCCAGTGGCTCTCCACTAGGAACTAAAACTTTACTGCTGCTTGGTATCAGTGGAATTCTCAAGGATATTCTATCAGGTTCTGGTCTTGTGGCCTCTGTGTCTGTTTCAACTGCCTTGAGCAAACCTCCGGAGCAGGTATATATCATACATTTAGTTTTCATTCATGCTACAATTGCTAGCATTTCTTGTAAACAAATTTTCACAAGAGGCTCATGTTGGGTATAAGAAATATGTAGCATAGAAAGACAAAGTGACTTTTTAGTATGTTTTGCCTGCGGATAAAGTGTGTTGGAAAATAATCGGATTCAAAAAGCTTAGATTCATTTGCTATACTTCGTAGTCTTAAGTTAGCTCCCTTTCTTTGGCGGGTCAGTTTGTCTGTAGGGGGGAAGAGATGTTCTATGAGAAGTTTCTCATGCTTGATAGGAATACACCAGAAATTATATGTGGAGCTTTCCAACTCTACATTTCATTCTTTGATAAAGTTCCAGCATTACATCTTATTAAGGTCACGTAGATGGAAACTTCGCTTGCCCACCAAAGAGATAAATGAACATAATAGGAACAAGATGAGAAGAATGCCTGGTAGATGACCCCCCACTCCTGACCTTATCTCGGTGAGCTGCTGTCTGCTGATCCTACACTTTGTTCTAAGAGCACAAAACACCAATTTTTCAAAATGAAGCCTGTTATTGTCAAATATTGTTTCATTTATGTATCGATCCCACAAGGACTGGAACAGTTATCAAATAATTTATTCTTGGTAGTTGAAAACAATTAAATTCCAATAACTTTGTTCTAATGCCCACTTCCAACTATTAAGTTCCAATTAAATTCCAATAACTTTGACAAGAGTGGGTTGCTCTAGTGGTGAGCACCCTCCACTTCCAACTAAGAGGTTGTGAGTTCGAGTCACCCCAAGAGCAAGGTGGGGAGTTCTTGGAGGGAGGGAGTCGAGGGTCTATCGGAAACAACCTCTCTACCCAGGGTAGGAGTAAGGTTTGCGTACAAACTACTCCCCCAGACTCCACTAGTGGGATTATACTGGGTTGTTGTTGTTGTAACTTTGTTCTAATGTCCAACAAAAAAAAAATTAAAATGATCTATATTTTTTTAACCAAGATTGAAGAGAATTATTGGAGGAAGAAGTAGAGACTTATAGTTGGTTTGTTTAGATTTTACTCCTTGATTAATACATATATTTTTTTTAGAATAAATATTGATTACTTCTAATGAGTATAATCGCCTATTCTGATCACCAATTATTCTGAGTCGTCTCTGGAATAACTATAGCATAAAGATTCTAGAAACACATTAGTAGTTCAATTTGTGTATGTTTATAGTGATGGATTTTAGATAGCAATGTAGCTTCTCTCGAATACTCCAATTCCAATAACACACTCCTGCAACCAATTCTTCTCTCGGATAAATGGGCTATAGGAGAGCCGCTACGAGAACTATTCAAGCACACGATTTCCTCTTAATTTCTCTCTCGAGTAAATTAAGATTTGATTTGAAGGGTTCACCGTCAAACATACACAGTAGGTATTGATTCAAGAACCTAAAGTCTAAACTAATACATCATCAAGTTCTTATAAAGGAAAATTACTTCATAAAGGAGTTCATAGCATAAATCATAGAAAAGAAGATTTGGAAAACGTGACAACCCGATTAGGAGATTGGAGTCTCTCCTTCATTGGCTCAAACTTCAATATATGGCTCCAAGACTAAAGATACCCAACTTACCGAACAAGTACATGTGTTTATAGGGTTGGGTAATGTCAAAAAGACCAAAAATATCCTTACAAATCGCAGTCGATCCATCTGTGCCATGTTCTGTGCTGCAGCAAGATATCATGTACGATGTTCCTGTTCCCCTGCGTTTTTAGGCTGCAGTGCATATTTGTGATGTGTTAGGTAGTCTTCCCGCTCTATCTTGCCTGCCTTCTGGGGCTGTGGTGCGAAATCCTGTGCAGGTTCAACCTCAAATATTCACTTCTCTTGATCTTTTTCTTTCCGTTTGGATAGTCTGGTTATGCACCTTTTACATTCTTATACCAAAATTACCAAAGTTCGTGTATTAACCATCCAAATCAAATAAATTAAATCAGAAACCAACTAAAACACATCAAAACAGATCCATAGGTACAATTTGATTCATCATGTCCGAGAACAAGGTAGTGACATTACAATGTGGTGGTCTGCATTTCTAAATCAGGAATGAGTTACCCATATAGTGCGAGTGCCTTAGGAAGCTCAAATAAATTTTTCTAAACTAAACTTTCAAATGTACTTTTTCAACTTCAACTTCAAATACTTTTCTTTTTCCAATTTCAAAAAACCAATTTGATCCATACGCCTACTTGATGTTCTGGTGTAGGATTGGATCACCACTATTGCAACTGATATCGGTGAATTTTTTAGCTGATGGAGAAATTTTGTTTTTAGCTTCAACTCGGTGGATAATAAGCCTGCCCCTCTACCCTTCTCCCCCTTAAATACCAAACGTTGTTCAACTGGCAGGATTCGAAGTCGCGACATATGATTACCACATATGTCCCCTCTATACTATCTTTGACTTTGAACTGAAGCTCCGAGGACAAAAATCGGTGAACATATTGATAAGTACAAAGTTGATGATAAGTATCTATTTATCGTTTTCCCCTCAGCTGTTATACTTCCTGGACAGCCTAAGGAACTTTGCTGTTAGACTTGAAGAAGTACAATAATTCACAAGTGTAGTTTTTTTCATTAGAAATTTTATCCTTTTCATTACAAGTGCATTATTGAATATTCAAATGTTTATTCCTAGAATGTGAATCACGTAAAAATTGGTAAAACAATAATATAAGGTTTAGGACATACCCTTGGTTTTCTTATGAAACTTTATTAGTAGTTGAAGACTCTCAAATTGTTTGTCGCTGAGATCAGTTAAACCTTAGTAGCGTAAATATGGCTTAGTTTTCTAAAACATTCAAGATCTTTCAGTTGTAATTTAGATAGCACTTGGATCATGTTATGAACAACCTTATTACTTTAATTCTTTTGTCTAATGTGTTATTCCTCTAATTGACTCTATTATTTTGTGAAATAAGATGACAATCTTCCCGCTTATTGGTTAAATGATCCTCTTGTTTCAAAGACCGTCTGGTTTCACTAGCTGGTGCTTGAACAAATGCCACGAAAACCATGCCTGCCTTTTCTGTGCTACGTGCGAACTGATTCATTTGAATGCTGCTTCTACCTCTTATAAGGACCGCAAAATTTCTTTTTGGATAGAACCAGGACCTTAAATGTATTTTCCTGGGTTTTACTAGATTTTTGAGATCGTGAACCTGGCAAATGAGCTTCTTCCTTCGCTGCCTCAAGGGACCATCTCTCTTCCAACCAGCACTAATTTGTTGATTAAAGGGTCTGTTGTGAAGAAACCTTCTGCTGGTGGTTCTACCAAACAGGAGGAGACGAATCTATCTACTCAGGAGGTTTCAGCTCGAGAAAAATTATTGAATGATCAACCTGAACTTCTGCAACAATTTGGAATGGATCTGCTTCCTGTGCTGATCCAGGTTGGTATCATAATCCATTGTAAATTACTACCTCCATCTTACAACTGCCATGGTAGAGATTTACGAGATGACCCCTGTTACTTGTTTTGCTGATCAGGTATATGGATCCAGTGTCAATAGTCCAGTTCGCCACAAGTGTCTCTCTGTTATTGGAAAACTTATGTACTTCAGCAGTGCAGATATGATTCAATCTCTAAATAACATCACTAACATATCAAGGTATGAATATCAGCAAAATATAAGCTTGAAATTTTTCATCAGATGTGGATCTGGGGGGGAATGGTTTATCCATGGAACAATCTTTTATGTGCATCATATTTCTTTGGTGGTGAAATTAGTAGTGCATTTGTAATTTCTCTGTAGTTTTTTGGCTGGAGTATTGGCCTGGAAGGATCCCCAAGTGCTGGTGCCTGCCCTTCAAGTAGCAGAAATTTTAATGGAAAAACTTCCTGGAATTTTTTCCAAGATGTTTGTGCGAGAAGGTGTTGTTCATGCTGTAGATGCTCTGATAGTGTCTGCGTCCCATAGTTCAGCTCCTTCCCAGCCATCATCTGCTGAGAAGGACAATGATTGTATACCTGGGTCATCTCGCTCTAGGCGTAATCGACGTCGTGGCAATAATTCAAATGCAGATGCAAGTTCCATTGAGGATCCCAAGAGTACAGTTCCTGGGAGTGGATCACCGCCAAACTCATTGGAAATTCCAAAGACCAGTTCTAGCATTCGCATGGCAGTCAGTGCATGTGCTAAATCTTTCAAAGATAAATACTTCCCTTCAGATTCAGGGGCTTCTGAAGTTGGCGTTACTGATGATCTTCTACGATTGAAGAATCTCAGTATGAAGTTGAACGCTGGTGTTGATGAACAAATATCTAAATCTAAAGGAAAATCAAAAGCTTCTGCTCCTCGGCTTGGAGATATTTCTGCCAGTAAGGAAGAGACCTTGGCCGAACTGGTAGCTTCCATGCTGGGGGAGCTCAGCAAAGGGGATGGTGTATCAACTTTCGAGTTCATTGGAAGTGGAGTTGTTGCATCTTTGCTGAACTATTTTACATGTGGATTTTTTTCCAAGGAAAGAATCTCAGATGCTAATTTGTCTAGGCTTCGACAACAAGCAATCAGAAGATATAAGTCTTTTATTGCAGTTGCCCTTCCTGCTACTGTTGATAGTGGAAATATTGTTCCTATGACTGTTTTGGTTCAAAAGCTTCAAAATGCCCTATCTTCGTTGGAGCGGTTCCCTGTCGTGCTGAGTCATTCTTCCAGATCATCTACCGGAAATGCGCGACTTTCTTCAGGTTTAAGTGCTTTGTCGCAACCATTCAAGCTACGCCTTTGCAGAGCTCAAGGGGACAAAACCCTCCGTGACTACTCCTCAAATGTTGTGTTGATTGATCCTTTAGCAAGTTTGGCGGCAATTGAAGACTTTCTTTGGCCTCGAGTTCAGCGAGTTGAGTCTGGACAAAAGGCCTTTGCGTCAGTAGGCAACTCTGAGTCTGGGACCACCCCTGCAGGAGTTGGTGCTTCATGCCCATCTACTTCTACTCCGGCTTCTGGATCTCGGCGTACACGATCTAGGTCAGCGGTTAATATAAATGACGGTGCAAAGAAAGACCCGCCACAGGAAAAAAATGGAAGTTCTTCCAAGGGCAAAGGAAAGGCTGTTCTGAAACCGGCTCAAGAAGATGGCAGAGGGCCCCAGACAAGAAATGCTGCTCGAAGACGAGCAGCCTTGGATAAAGAAACAGAGGTGAAACCCGTGACTGGGGATTCTAGTTCCGAGGTATGTTTTTTCGCTCTATTATGCGTGTCTAGTAGATGGATTCATTTTTCCAAAATACCTTTGGAGCAAAATTCGTCATTTCTTTACTTTGTTGAAGAATAATTGTATAATAATAGCAAATTCCAGGAAAGATAGTATAGATGAATAAATAATATGAGAAAATTTACAAATGAACAAGAAGGAGAAATATTATTGAAATATTGGTATTTAGTACTACATCAAATATTACAGCTAACGAATAATTCTCTGTTTTGTTTTTGATAGGTTAAATAATTCTCTATTTTATCTGTTAAATGAAGGAATTTTTTGTATGTCCTATTTAAGTAGGGTAAAATGGTCTTTCCTCACCTAAACTCATGTTTCTCTAACCTAAGGGTGTTGCCTCAATGAAGTGAGTGCAAACCTTAGAGATTAGGTTTCAAATTCTAGCTGGGACAAAAAAAACCAAGTGATCTCTTCCAATTTGCTCGAGCCTCGGTGAGAGAGTTACTTGGTACATGTGTTGGTGGGGTGCAATAGGTACCTGGTCGAATAGTCGAGGTGCGCGCAAGCTGACCAATATACCGCCGTTATTAAAAAATAGAAAACTCATGTTTCTCTATTTCCTGCATCTTAAACGCCCTCCTTGGACAGGATGGTCTACCAATAATGATTAGTATATCATCTTTTTATCCAATATAACCGATGATATCCGGTGAGTAAACGTCCTCTTATTGTTAATATGTCTTTCTTTATTCTTTTCCGTTAACTTGAGAAATCCGTTGAAGATAAACCTTTCCTGCAGAAGAAAGTTAATTCTTCCTCCAACAACAACAACAATAACAAATCCAGTGTAATCCCACAAGTGGAGTATGGGGAGGGTAATGTATATGCAGACCTTACCCCTACTTTGTGAAGGTAGAGAGGCTATTTCCGTTAGAATCTTGGCTCAAGGAGAGAAGAAAGTTAATACTTCCTCCCTCCCAAATAAATATTGTGGTTTGGGAGTATTAAATGAAAGTTTGCAATTTTTAAGGTTGATTTTGGACATTGACCCATCGATTATCAAAAAATTACCTGTATTGTCAGAAGTTATAGGCATCCACATGACGGGGTTTGTGAAATGATGTCATTGCCTGATGGACATCCACACGGCGGGTTCTTCACCGTCAATTAATCAACATGGTTGTTCATGTAATAAGCATTTCATTTAGATGCTCACCTTGAGAGATATCTGAAATTTTTAGGAACATATCCTTGTTAAAGTCAATTTTGACTGTGATGATTCTTGTATGCACACTTAATCGAGAGTTAGAGAAGCTGTAGACGATATGCAAAGGTGTAGGTAAGCTTCATGAATCCCTGCATGTCTTGGAATTGCGTTGATCAAACGCAAGAAAGGGAATCACTGCTAGAAAGCAGCTTTGTAATTGGAAATGAACACGCAGAATAATAAAAGATTGAGTATTACCATTATACCTCATTCTGAAAAAAAGAAATTCATTCTCAAAAGAGTATTACCATTATACCTACAAGACAAATATACAAAAGGTCATATTTTAACTCACCTAAATCAGAAGAAGATGCGTAAAATTTAACATCATGTTCTTATCAAATAAAAGTTTATTCTGTAATTTAGGTACTTCTTGTGCATCACTTTCTCAATGTGTACTACTAACGTTTGCTTCTAAATTTTATTCATCAGTTTAGAAGACACTTTTACTCTGCATGTCTTTTACCCTTACTCACCACTGATGACCAAGACCAACTTGCACGCTAGACGTGTCCATTTCATGACAGCTTCAAAATACAAATCTTCTACTAAACTATCATATCCTACATATATACTGTCATTAGTATGTCCCTGTGCCCTTTCTAGCGGGAGGTGAAAGTTACAGGGTTTTAGTATCTTGTCCTTCTCTTTTAAGAATGTATACCTTTTGTTTGCACATCTTGCTAATTCTTCTTTTGACGTATTTATGCTGACTGATAAATTAATTACATGATTTAGCTTACTGGATCCCGAGTTAATTTATGAATCACTTACGTAGGTCTCTTGAACATTGAGGTCTCAAAAATATTGAATGAAACAGAAAAATGCTTATTCAAAGTATTGATGCTTTCTCTGATTTTTACTGCCTACATTTTTCATCTCCTCATTTTTTGCTGCTTGCATGACAATATGAACCTTGACATTCCGTTGCTTTTTGCGATGTTTAGGATGAGGAGTTGGATATGTCACCTGTTGAAATTGATGATGCTTTGGTCATTGAGGATGACGATATATCTGATGATGATGAAGATGACCATGATGATGTAAGCTACTACTAAAATCTCATTTTTTAAATTTCGAGTTCTGCCATTCTTCTAATTTACGCTTAGATTGTTGAGAGCAGATCTGCATTCTCGATGTGCATGTTTTCAGTCGCTTCTCCACAGATCAAATTGATCAGCTCTTGTAATTTAATGCACAGTTGTATTAAAGATGGTTTTCTGAAATTGTTGCCAATGCTTTAGGTGTTGAGAGATGATTCTCTTCCTGTTTGCATGCCGGACAAAGTTCATGATGTTAAATTGGGTGATTCTTCGGAGGAGAATCCTGCCGCACAGACGGCAAATGATAGCCAGACAAATGCTGGTGGTGGTTCTAGCAGCAGAGCTGCTTCTGCTCAGGGATCTGAATCCGTTGAGTTCAGGAGTGGGAGTTCTTATGGTTCAAGGGGTGCAATGTCATTTGCTGCTGCTGCCATGGCCGGACTTGCATCTGCTAATGGTAGAGGTGTGAGAGGTGCTAGAGATCGCCATGGACGCCCTCTCTTTAGCACTAGTGATCCGCACAGACTTGTATTTTCTGCAGGTGGAAAGCAGCTTAATAGGCACTTGACTATCTACCAGGCTATCCAGCGGCAGCTTGTCCTTGATGAGGATGATGAAGAGAGATATGGTGGCACTGACTTTGTATCTAGTGACGGAAGCAGACTTTGGGGTGATATTTACACTATCACATACCAAAGGGCTGACAGTCAAGCAGAGAGGTCTACCAAAGGTGATGGGAGCTCAACTTCCACCAAGTCTAACAAAGCTAGTTCTTCAGCAAGTGCCAGTGCTGATCCCTCATTGCATCGAGCATCATTGTTAGATAGTATATTACAGGGAGAACTTCCTTGTGATATGGAAAAAACCAATCCTACTTACAACATTTTGGCCCTGTTACGTGTACTGGATGGATTAAACCAGCTGGCCCCACGGTTACGGGTCCAGTCAGTTATTGATGATTTTTCTGAAGGGGAAAAGTTGAGTTTAGATGAGCTCAGTGCTGCTGGTGTCAAAATTCCTCCGGAGGAATTTGTCAACAGTAAGCTCACTCCAAAGTTGGCCCGACAGATTCAGGATGCTCTAGCCCTTTGTAGTGGGTCTCTTCCATCATGGTGTTATCAGTTGACAAGGTCCTGTCCATTTCTTTTTCCATTTGAGGTTCGACGCCAGTACTTCTATTCAACAGCCTTTGGATTATCTAGGGCTTTGTATCGGCTTCAGCAACAACAAGGTGCGGATGGTAATGGATCTACCAATGAGAGAGAAGTTAGGGTCGGGAGATTACAGCGCCAGAAAGTCCGTGTCTCTAGAAATCGCATTCTAGATTCTGCTGCGAAAGTAATGGAGATGTACTCCAGCCAAAAAGCTGTTCTTGAGGTTGAATATTTTGGTGAAGTTGGCACTGGTTTGGGTCCAACTCTGGAGTTCTATACCCTTTTAAGTCATGATCTGCAAAAAGTTGGACTGGGAATGTGGAGGACGAGTTCCTCATCAAGTGAACATTCAGTGGAAGTGAGCGTGGGTGAAAAACTGAACAGGGAAGATAAAGAACTTGTCCAAGCACCTCTTGGATTATTCCCACGTCCCTGGCCATCGACTGTTGATACTGCTGATGGAAACCAATTCACCAAAGTAATAGAATATTTCAGATTGCTTGGGCGTGTGATGGCCAAAGCACTTCAAGATGGGCGGCTTTTGGACCTCCCTATGTCAACAACTTTCTATAAGCTTGTCCTTGGCCAAGTAAGGGTTTCTCTCTGTTTTTTTGTGTTGCACGTTATACCTTCTAAGATCAAATTGTTGCACCCACCTTTGTATTTTTTTGTATATCTTTTCTAACGGTTCTGTGCTTAAAACACTGCAGGAGCTTGATCTGTATGATATTCTCTCTTTTGATGCCGAGTTGGGAAAGACTTTGCAAGAGTTGCAAGCTCTTGTTAGTCGGAAACAATATATAGAATCAATGGGAGGCCTGGGCCAAGACAAAATTAGTGATTTGCATTTTCGTGGGACTCCAGTTGAGGATCTTTGTTTAGATTTCACGCTCCCAGGCTATCCTGAATATGTTCTGAAAGCAGGCGATCAGAATGTATGCTGCTTTTCCTTGGACGCCAATTCTATTTTTTTTTTTTAATTAAAATTTTGTCCTTTTTCTTTTGATCATTTTGTTTGATTTGTACCTTAAATGGAATTTGCAGGTGGATCTTAGTAACTTGGAGGAATATGTTTCTTTGGTGGTTGATGCCACTGTGAGGACTGGAATTGGGCGGCAGATGGAAGCATTTAGATCTGGCTTCAATCAGGTTAGTTTCCATCATGGGATTTATAGCGTGTTTGGTGGAAAAATCAACTTATTTTGAGAAGTGCTTTTGCCAAAAATGCTTTTCGAAAAAGCACTTTCGGAGAAAAATAGTTTGTGTTTGGCTAATCAATTTTGAAAAATACTTTTTAGCAACTTTTTCTCCCCCAAAAGCTTGGCCAAACACCTCGATTTGAGGAAAAAAGCACTTTTTTGAGAAAAAAGGCACTTTTGGCCCTGGGAGAAGCATGGCCAAACAGGCTATTAGCTAATTAGATACATGAGATGATAACTTTTAATCTCCACAACTTTCAGGTATTTGACATTTCAGCTCTGCAAACATTCTCTCCTTCTGAGTTGGACTACCTGCTTTGTGGCCGTAGAGAGTTATGGAAGGTAACCTTTGTTTCTCATGAACCCAGTATAGCACACTGTGATACTTGTATACTTGAAAGTTTCCTGCTTTTTTTCCAATTTCACTGTTTTGTTTGTGCAGGCTGAGACTCTTGTAGATCATATCAAATTTGATCATGGATATACAGCCAAGAGTCCCGCTATTGTTTATGTAAGTTTCCTCAGCTATCAGTGGAAGTGTAGTACCTGAGACTAATGTTACCAAGCTAGTTAGTCTGTCTCTTCTATTGACTTCAGAATGATATCAACTGTTTAATTTGCTGATCCTCAGTTACTAGAGATCATGGGAGAGTTCACTCCTGAGCAGCAACGAGCGTTCTGTCAGTTTGTCACTGGTGCTCCCCGGCTTCCTCCAGGTGGTCTGGCTGTGCTCAATCCTAAGTTGACAATAGTGAGGAAGGTACAGTTGTAGTTAGCTAAAATATAAGTCCGACCATTTTATTCTCTCTGCGGTGACTGACCATTGTATTTTTGGAACAGCATTCATCTAGTGCTAGTAATACAGCATCAAATGGTAATATGCCATCAGAATCTGCAGATGATGACCTACCTAGTGTGATGACATGTGCTAACTACCTGAAACTGCCTCCCTATTCTACTAAGGTATGATTTCTCCCCAATCCATCCGCTCTAGGTTGTGCAGAAACTTATCCCCGCATCTCCTTCATGAGGGTAGTCATCTGCTTTCCTAGTGCAATTTAAGACTGACTCTCTATCTCTTATCTCTTTCCACTCTCTTGGGAGCGGCAAATAGAATTTCTTATGCCTTACGTCACTCTACAGGAAATCATGTACAAGAAGTTACTCTATGCGATCAATGAAGGCCAAGGATCCTTTGATTTATCATAAGTCACCTGACAAATGGACTTGTGAATACAACTGTGAAATTGTTGTGTCTGGTCCTCAATAAAGGCGGCTCTGGCCCATGCTCAACTAGCAACACCAAGGTCTGTATGCCTCAAGAATCCGCCGTCTCATTTTTTCATTCAGACTACATTTCCTCTATCTTGATTGCCAGCTTCATTACTGCAGTACTATTCACTAAGATTGTAAAACTATTTGTTTTTTTGTTTGTTTGAGCCATGTATTTAGTCTGCTGATTTACCTGCCAAGTATTGCGGCGTCTTCAGGTTATTTAACTCTGGACTTTTGTGTTTTGGCTGTTTACGTCACAGCTGACATTGGAGCCTTGCTTCGGCCGTGTGATGATGGGAGATTTTTTCTGCGGGGGTTCTATGCTGCAAATGCTTGTAAATATGTAGGAAGATTGTTCTTTCAATTTTGACGTTTTAAGGTCGTGCAGCACATACATGTAAGGGCATAGTGTGGCCTTTTTTTTCACTTTGCTTCTCGCAGATAAAAGGAATGTTGTACTTTGACATTTCAGTTACTAGTAATATGCTCCAATAAATTGGCCAGCATAATTGAGGTGCTCTCAAGCCAAGTGCGGCTCTAGGGTGGTAAGGCAGGTGAAGCCCTTGCCTTACGCCCCAAATAGTTAAGGCCCCAAAAATATATAATTTATTTATATAAAAATTTCTAATTTTAATATTTTATATAAATTCGGTAGAGGTAGGATTGAGTGAGTTAATACGATAAAAATTCTTGAGGCAAGTGTTGCAAGGTTAAAAAAAACTTGATGAATAATGGGTTCACTCCTATCAATTTTACCTGGTATTAGGAGTGGCAAAATGGTTAAAAGAAAACAGTTAATCATCTATATTATCTACTAAAAAAAATGGGTTGGATAATAAATTTTTTAAAAAGGGGTTAAATATGGATAAGAATCATATTATCCATTTAAAAAATGGATAACCAATGGATAACTAATGAGTTTAATTTTTACATTTGTAAAACCTTAAACTGGGGGATGCTCAAATTTGGGAGATTAGGAATTCTCCCAAAAGTGATCATATTCATTAAACCATGGATAATATGGTTACTCATATTATCCGCCGGTTAAATTATTTTTTATCCGTATTTAATATGAGTCGGGTCGGATAATTTATCTGTTTTTTCATTGCATGTTTTCGACCCATCCTATATCCGACCCGCCCCGCCCGTTTGCCACCCTACCTAATATCATATTTTGTATGTCACACCTCCTTTTTCCCCACAAAAGATATGTGTTATGGATTGTTGTGGGTTAAAGAGTTTTTCCAATTAAAGTGACAAATTTGAGTAGGAATTATTTTATTTACAGAGTCGCCACTTGGAATTGATTTTTTGGGTGTTCCAAGTCACCATTTATTTGAATTCCTAGTCAAAGGAAGGTTTGACTCTATTATTATTGGTCTGCGAAAACAAAGTCCGGGTAAGGAATTCTGTTGACCGGGGAGAAGGTGTAAGGCATTCCCCGAGTCCCGTGGTTCTAGCACGGTCGCTTTAATGACTACATTTGGCTTATATTATTTTTGGATAACCTGTGTTTTATTGGTTCTCATGTTTTACCTATGTCCGCTTTTATTGCTTGATTAGATTTATGAAAATTATCTTGAAATAAGTCACGTGTACGTGTACTCATTTTTGTTTGGCGTCAAGAATCATGTCACGCGTACGTGTACACAATTAATAACACATTTATTATTATTCGAAGTTGATTGGTCAAGTCATGTGAACGCGCACTTGTATTATTTTTCTAAACGAATTTGAAATTATTGTAAGACCAAGAGTTTATGGATAGAAAATTATTTGAACGTCGGGAAATATATTAGTTATTTAAAGTATTGAAAATTCATCTACACTTAGAAATATGTACAACTTATTACTCTATCTTTGAAATTAGGAGACATTTATCAATTATGAAAGAATGAGCTAATTATTAGTCTAGTGACAAAATTATTGGGCATGACATATTTATACTCAATCCAACCCATGTCTAATTCTTTCTTTCCTATTAAATGTGATAACTCATTTCTGGTTCACTTACTTGAACTCTAACGCATGTCCCATTAATATGGCAAGATCTTCATTCTTAATTCTAAATAGCAAATCTCATTAAGATGAAATCCTATTCAAATAATCTGTTGACAAATCGCTTGAAACATGTAAAAAGACACTACAACATGATAATGTGTATAAATAAAACAACACAAAAAATTATCACATGAACCTCTATAAGAACATCACACAAAACAATAAAATAATTAACAAAGGGAGGATAAGCAATGAACCTTTAAGCAAAAAATTTCCTTCAGAACTTGATTAATGCAAAAATAATTCTGAGTCGAGCAAATACACCAAACCAAGGGCAAATCGGCAGATGAGCAGAAAATCTAGCGACGAACCTTCTAAAATTCGAGCCCGGACCGAAACTCGACTATACCTCGTGAGGCTGCTGGTTTTTGCCGTGAGAGGTGTGACTATCAATGAAACTTCACAAGGTGTTTTTAGGCTTGAATTTGAGGCATTTTTGGGTCTTAAACAGGGTGATGAATTGCTTGAATTTTCGAAAGAAATAATGAAACGAGTAAAAATTCACTTAGCGTAGAAGAAGAATTTTCCCCCCTCTCAATTCTCTCCTCTATTTTTCCTTCCTTCTCTCCCTCTTTCTCTTCACATTTCTCTTCTATTTATAGAAAAAAATTCGGAATTTTTTCAGATTATTTTATTTTATTTTATTATTTTATTATTTTTAATTAAAAAAAATTCCCACTTCCCATTTTCTTCTTTTTTAAAAAAAATAATTTCCCATTTTTTTTACTTTTATGTTTTAATTTTTCACTTTTTTTACTTTATTTGTTTTTTATTTTCCACTTATTTTACTTTTCTTTTTTTAATTTTCACTTTCTTTTACTTTTAAAAAAAAGATAATTTCCACCTACTTTTACTTTTCTTTTTTTAATTTTCACTTTATTTTACTTTTTTAAAAAAAAATTCAGCTACCTTTACTTTTATTTCTTTAATTCCAACTTCTTTTACTTTTTATTTTTTAAATTTCCACATTCTTTTACTTTTAATTTTTTTAATTTTCTACTTTCTTTTACTAAAAAAAAAAAAATAATTTTCACCTACTTTTAGTTTTAATTTCTTATTCCATACTTTTAATTTTTCTATTATTTTATTCCCATCCGAAAATAAAAAAAATATTAATTTTTTCATTTTTTTTTATTTATCAATTTTAAAATAAAGATAAAAAATAAAAACAATACTAATAGTAATAATTTGACCTTTTAAATTATTTTTAATTCTTACTCTATATTAAAAAATATAACAAAGCTAAAAATATATATATTAAATTTCTAAAAATATTTATATATTAGAAGGTGGTAAAAATTCAAATATAGTCAAAAATTAGGTGCTCATAACTGCCCCTATTTGCTTGGAAACATGAAGAGTTTTCAGGCAAAGACTAGGTGAGCCATGTGACTAATTTTTGACCAAACCGTTATTCAAAAGGAAAATAAATAAAAGATAGAGTGTAACCGAGTCCTGATTTTGGACAGCCTACATATCCCGAGTTATAGGGAAATCAGGTCACGTGTAGTTCAAGGAGAATGGTGGAATGATGAGTTGAGGAGTCGAGTGAGGTTCCGTCGAGGCTCCGGTCCGTGATCCTGCTATTATAAAAAAAGAAACTAAACAAGCCTATCAGCTATAAGTTACAAGATTTCTATCTATGAGTCTTCTCAAACTTGATCTTGAGTCTTGACTGGTTCTTCATGCAGACTCTGATCTAAACCTTGATGCTCACTAGCTGTAAGTGCTAGTTCATTGTTCTGTAGTTTCTTCTAATCAAAACAGGGCTCCAATGCTTGTGGCTTTAGTCATGTCTTGAGCATTCCACATCCTTTCAATTGCTTTTTCATTTTGGATTCATTTATTTTTTCTTTTCTTTTATTCTGAATTGAGACTTCTTCTTTTGGTCATCTCGAACCCCGTACCTCGAGGTAAAACCTACTCAGACACCAAAACAAAAAAACGAACGAAAATTTTTTGCCCCAGTTTGCACTAGGAAAATTTCGTGAGTTATTGTAACAAAATTCTAAACTACTTTTTTTATTGAAAGCAATAAAAGGTCGGGAATGGTATATCCTGAAAAATAAAAAGAGACTAGGAAATGGGGACCCTATGTCTAAAATGAAAGAAACTAGGAAGTGGTGACCCTATATTGAAAAAACGACTAGGGATTGGTGTACCCTACTACTGGTAAGGAAATATAACCAAGGGTTGGTACCCTATATTACGGAAAAAGAATGTAATCATGGGATGGCGTCCTGTATTACTGAAAGGAAATGTAAGCAGGGGATGACACCTTGTATTACGGAAAAGAAATGTAACCAGGGGTTGGTGCCCTGTATTACTGAAATGAAAATGAATCCTCTGGGCGAAAAGGTTCTACCTGGGTTAAATTGCGAAAAGCGAGCCTGGGCGAAGAGTACTTCTACCCAGAATATGAGCTGGATCTCCCTAGGAGAAAAGTTTCTACCTCGGTTAAACTACATAAAACAACCTGAGCGAAGAGTACTTCTACCCGGAACTATGAGCTGGATCCCCTAGGCGAAAAGGCTCTACCTGGGTTAAGCTACGTAAAACAACCTGAGCGAAGATGTACTTCTATGCGGAACTATGAGCTGGATCCCCCTAGGCGAAAAGGTTCTACCTGGGTTAAGCTACGTAAACATCCTGAGCAAAGAGTACTTCTACCCGGAACTATGAGCTGGATCCCCCTAGGCGAAAAGGTTCTACCTGGGTTAAGCTACGAAAAATAAGCCTGGGCGAAGAGTACTTCTATCCGAAACTATGAGCTAGATCCCCTAGGCGAAAGGGTTCTACATGGGTTAAGCTACGTAAACATCCTGAGCAAAGAGTACTTCTACCCGGAAAACTATGAGCTGGATCCCCCTAGGCGAAATGTTCTACCTGGGTTAAGCTACGTAAAACAAGCTTGGGCTAAGAGTATTTCTACCCGAAACTATGAGCTGGATCCCCATAGGCGAAAAGATTCTACCTGGGTTAAACTAAGAAAAACAAGCCTGGGCGAAGAGTACTTCTACCAAGAAACTATGAGTTGGATCCCCATAGGCAAAAAAGTTCTACCTGGGTTAAGCTACGTAAAATAACTCTGGGCGAAGAGTACTGCTACCCGAAACTATGAGCTGGATCCCCCTAGGCGAAAGAGTTCTACCTGGGTTAAGCTAAGAAAAATAAGCCTGGGCAAAAAGTACTTCTACCCGGAAACTATGAGCTGGATCCCCCTAGGTGAAAAGGTTCTACCTGGGTTAAGCTACGAAAAACAACCTGAGCGAAGAGTACTTCTACTCGGAACTATGAGCTGGATCCCCCTAGGAGAAAAGGTTCTACCTGGGTTAAGCTACGAAAAATAAGCCTAGGCGAAGAGTACTTCTACCTGGAAATATGAGCTGAATCCCCCTAGGTGAAAAGGTTCTACCTGGGTTAAGCTACAAAAAACAAGCCTGGACGA